AGGGCTTGTGGACCCTGTAGGGTTCAACACCGTTCCAGAGGAGCTTCTAAGGGTTTAGGGTTTAGGGTTTTAGGGTTTTAGGATTTAGGGTTTAGGGTTTAGGGTTTAGGGCTACTAGGACCCAGAGTAGGCCCTGTTCTTCCCTTTTTTTCGGGTCTAGGCTCCCTTATAAGCCCCTTCAAACCAAAAAGGGCACCTCGCGTTTTTTTCTAGGTTGCTCTTGGGTCTGTAGGGGCGTTCTGGTTTGAAGATTGCAGACCGAGGCCTGGGCTGGGTTAAGACTCGTACCCCTAAGACTGTACCTAAACATGTCCCAATGTAATCCTAATCTGGCCCTGATATCTCCTTAGCGTTCTTTGAAAAAGGGTCCCCGAATTCAAGGGTGTAGGGTTAAACCCTAAACCCTACACCCTAAACCCTAAACCCTAAACCCTAAACCCTAAACCCTAAACCCTAAACCCTAAACCCTAAACCCTAAACCCTAAACCCTAAACCCTAAACCCACCTTAGGGGTGCAAAGTAAAGTCCCTTGAATGGTTGAAGGGCTTCGGGGCTGGGAGTTTGGTTTCGGGGTGGTGCAGGGCCCAGGGTAGCAGCTTGAGCTTGAGCTTTACTTAGGGTTTAGGGTCTAGGGCTTAGGGTTTGGGTTTAGGGCTAGGGTTTAGGGTCTAGGGCCCTACATCCCAACACCCCGAAGTTCCCCCAACATGTCTCTGCAGCTCTACAAAGACGAAGCTCGTGCTTAGGTCCACCTCACTGGGCCCGATCACCGAGGCGTGGGGTGGGAGGGTGGGAGGGGGGGAAGCTTGAAGGTTAAGGGTTTGGGGTTTAAAGTTTGGGTTTGTGGGTTTAGGGCTTGAAGGTTTAAGGCTTGAAGGATGTGTATAGTCTTTGGAGGGTTTAGGGTGCAACCTCCAGGGAGCACAGGTTTCTAAACCCTAAACCTTACACCCTAAACCCATAGCCCTAAACCCTAAGGCCTTCCGAACCTTTTCCCGAAACCCTAAACCCTAAACCCTAAAAACCCAAAAAACCGAAACCCTAAACCCTAAACCCTAGCCCTAAACCCTAAACCCTAAACCCTGAAGCCTAAACCCTATAAACCCTTTTCTGGGTTAGAGGTGCCCCCGGTGCAGTTGCGTGACGGATGTGGATGGGCTTAGCCTGACCAACAGGCGTTTCTTGGGAGACCTCAAAGGATCCGGTTCCAAAATTGGGTTTAGGGTTTAGGGTTTAGGGTTTAGGGTTTAGGGTTTAGGGTTTAGGGTTTAGGATGTAGGTAGGGTTCAGGGAGTCACTGGACCCTTGTAAGGGACCTTAGGGTTGTTTGGGGGTTATTTAGGGGCCACTTAGGTATATAGGGACTACATAAGGTATATTGAGGTTATATATATATATATATATAGGGGAAGAAGATTAAGGATCCCGCCTTAAGGAAGTAGGGTTCCGGGTTTACAGGGTATCACTTGTAGGGAGAAGTATCCCCCAAAGCTCGGGTTCTTCGCCCTCAAGGTTGTACAAAGTAAACCACTGACATGTCCCTTGTTATAAAGCCGTGGTTCCCGGTTGAGGGCTCAGGGTTCGAGATGTCGGGTTGATAAATTTCTTTGAGGCTCCCATAACACTCAGTATCTAACCCCTAAACCCTAAACCCCAAACCCTAAGCATTTCAGGCCGAGACGTCCGTGGGCTCATGGCCTGAAGCTCAGTGCACCCTATGTTTCTTCTAAACCCCTATACCCCTAAACCCGAAGCTCTAAACCCCAAACCCTACACCCTAAACCCCAAACCCTAAACCCTAAACCCTAAACCCTAAACCCTAAACCCTAAACCCTAAACCCTAAACCCTAAACACCCTAGCCCTAAACCCTAAAGAGGGCCCCACCCTAAACCCTAAACCCTAAACCCTAAACCCTAAACCGTAAACCCTAAACCCTAAACCCTAAACCCTAAACACCCTAAACCCTAAACACCCCAGCCCTAAACACCCAAGAAGCTGCGACGTGCTGAGGACTCGTCCCAGCACTACCAGTCTCACGCGCCCAAGCCTGGGTCTCAACATGTTAGGGTTTAGGGTTTAGGGTTTAGGGTTTAGGGTTTAGGGTTTAGGGTTTGGGGTTTAGGGTTTAGGGTTTCGGGTCTTGGGTTTGGGGTTTAGGGTTTAGGGTTTAGCGTTGAGGTCTTGCGACATCTCAATGCACCCAAACCTTTCCCCCCCAAAACAAAAACAAGAATGAAAGACTCAATTGTTCAGGGGTTTTGCGGGGCCCAGACAGACAAAGGATCAGCAACCCCAAAACCCTACACCCTTTAGGGTTTAGGGCTTCGGGTTTAGGGTTATTCAGGGAGGCTGTTAGGGATTTGAGGGGGTTAGGGGTTTACGGGTATTTCGATGGGGCATTCAGGGTTATAGGGGTTTGAGGGAATTTAGGCCGGCCCCCTTCAACTCCTGGGGAAGCGTGGCACCTAGACTGGGCCCTGCAACGCCCTTGAAACCGGAAGCTGCTAAACCCCAAACCCTAAACCCGAAACCCGAAACCCGAAACCCTAAACCCTAAACCCTAAACCCCGAGCCCTAAAGCTGAAGCAACCAAAGCCCTAGGCCCCAAGCCCAGTATACCGAAGCCCTGATCCATGAAGCCCTAGGCTTAAGCCCCAGGGCGTCGCCCTCAGAAGCAGCGTGCAGGGTTTGGGGTCTGGGGTTTAGAGTTTGGGGTTTAGGGTTTCGGGTTCAGGGTTTAGGGTTTAGAGTAAACATGAACTCTTCTGACCCAGCAGATGCTCTCGAGTGACAGTCATGACGACACCCACGCCAAGCCCCAAACCCTAGAACCTCAAACCCTATGACCTAGTAGTAGAGTAGGTAACCTTTAACCTTTTTGGCGTAGTATAATCCCCTTATAATCCCAAAGGTTAACTCTTTACAAGTAAGCAAGCCCTGAAAACAGACACTTTGGGTCTAGGTCTAGGGCCCCTAAACCCTAATCCCTACACCCTAAACCCTAAACCCCAAACGCTAAAGCCTAAACCCTAAACCCTAACCCTCAACCCTCAACCCCTAACCCTAAACCCTAAACCCTAAACACTAACCCCACCCAAGACCCAAGACCCCAGACCCAAACACCTCTGCCAGAGGCTTCGGTGTGGAGGTTGACAGCGAGGAGGAGGCGCTACTTTAGGGTTCCTTTAGTGATCTTCGCGCTTTGGGTTTAGGGTTCATAGGGTTTAGGGTTTAGGGTTTAGGGGTTTAGGGTTTAGGGTTTAGGGGTTTAGGGGTTTAGGGGTTTAGGGGTTTAGGGGTTTAGGGGTTTAGGGGTTTAGGGGTTTAGGGGTTTAGGGGTTTAGGGGTTTAGGGGTTTAGGGGTTTAGGGGTTTAGGGGTTTAGGGGTTTAGGGGTTTAGGGGTTTAGGGTTACTTTAGGGACCCCAGGGCGAATAGGTTTCTTTCGGGACCTTGGCGATCTGCGAGGCTTTAGGGATAACCAAAAAACCCTAAACCCTAAACGGGCTACTTTAGGGGCTTTGGAGGATCCAAAGCGTTCCGGATTTTCAGGGTTTGGGCGTTTGCTGCGGGTTGTTTGGGCGTTCGCGGCCAGGGGGCTTAAATCCTGAACCCTGAACCCTGAACCCTAAACCCTAAACCCTAAACCCTAAACCCTAAACCCCTAGGGCTTAGCATCTGCAAAGGCTTTAGGGGGGCTCCAGCGGGCACGCCAGGAAAGTACTTCCCGACAGCCCGGATGAAGGGCCCGGAAAGAACGGCGCCGTTTGCGGCTCCGATTTTTGACGGCTTCTGTCTGATTTTAACCATGTCGTGCAGAATATGGCGAGGGATATGGTCACGCTGTGGTTTGGTTCCTGGTGGGCTTAGGGGTTTCCCTAAACCCTAAACCCTAAACCCTAAACCCTAAGGGTTCAGGGTTGGGGGTAGGGCAGTGGGTAGATGTCTTTTGGGGTAGAGGGAGATACAAGGGTTTGGGGTTCAGGATCTCAGGGCTTAGACCCCCCCCCCCCCCCCTTGAGCACTAGCAAGCCACGTGACAAAGCAACCAACCTCACTCCTCACTCCTAGCATGTAAGCCCCAAAACACCTAGAGAACCTTTAAGGGAGGGAGTCTATTTCGGCTACCCAACTCCCTGATTCCCTTCGAAGAGTCAGCAAGTAAACCCTAACGTCCCTAAACCTCCAAACCGCCGGACGCAGGATGGAGTTGAGTTAGACATCATCGTTGGCCCAACCAGGAAGCTTGGCATTGTTGTTGTGCGCTCAATTGTTCCTTTGTGTGCGAGGGTTCGGGTTGAGGGTTGAGGGCTGAGGGTTGAGAGCTGAGGGTTTGGGATACACTTATAATGCAAACATTACATACATATATGTATATATATATATGTATATATATATATATATGTATACAGAGGTGCTTTCATAGCCTGTTAGGTCTGTTAGGCAGAGGTTCGGGTGGGCAAAAGAAGCGAAAGCAGCCGCACCAGAGACCTTCGCACCCTGCGCGCGCTCAAGCACGCCACAACAACGTTGACCCCTAAACCGCGAAATCAAGCCCTAAGCCCGACTTGAGCTACGGTTTTGGGGTTTAGGGTTTAGGGTTTAGGGTTTGAGACAACTTTCAGGGGCCTAAGCGTACCTTAATGATTGGGGCGGACAATTTGGGGTATCCTGAAAGGATCACGGGAGGTGCTCGGGAGTGAGTTTTTTGGGTTAGGGTTTAGGGTTTAGGGTTTGGGGTTTAGGGTTTAGGGTTTAGGGTGGATGAACAGGAGGCGTGCGTTGTCCTGAGGCAAGCAAGATGCAATATAGACGGAGCATAGTGGTCCCAAACTGACCAAACTGGACCGTTCAGGGCTTTTTGTTTGGGGTTGAGTATTTGCTCATTTGGGCAGGCACCCTAAACCCTAAACCCTAAACCCTCAACCCTAAACCCTAAACCCTAAACCCTAAACCCTAAACCCTAAACCCTAAACCCTAAACCCTAAGCCAACCTTAGG